ACCTGCCTTTCTGTAAGTTACCCCTTAACCAAAAACCTTAAGTTCACCCCTTCAAAATCCCTAAACCCTGAAACCCTAAACCCTATAACCCTAAAACCCTAAAACCCTAAAACCCTAAAACCCTTAACACAAAAACACCCTAAACCCTAAACCCCCTAAAACCCTAAAACCCCTAAACCCTAAACCATAAAACCCTAACACCCTAAAACCCTAAACCCTAAAGCCCCTAAAACCACTAAAACCACTAANNNNAAACCACTAAACCCTAAAACCCTTAACCCTAAAACCCCTAAACCCCTAAAACCCTAAACCCTAAACCCTAAACCCCTAAACCCTAAACCCTAAATCCCTAAACACTAAACCCTAAACACTCAAAACCCTGAACCCTAAAACCCTAAATCCAGGCAAACAACAGTGGGCTCGACTTGGAGTTGGCCCTCTGGCCGGTCCTCGGGAATGAGGGTGGAGTCCTCCCAGGTGAGTAGCGTTTAGGGTTTAGGGTTTAGGGTTTAGGGTAGCCTTTTTTTTGGTGGTTAAACCTGGTAGTATAGGGATAATGGAAAAGAAAATGGAAACTACTATACTATCATGGGGTATATATTGGGGTTATATTAGGGGTTATACGAAGTAATGGTTTTTTTTGTGGTTGAACCCAATAAGATTATACTCCTTATATAAACTACTATACTCCAAAAGGAGGATAGAATCTTACTCTGTATAAATAAAATGCTACTCAGGTCCCTTCACAAAGGGCTTTGGGGGTTTGGGGCTTCTAGGGGTTTGCGGCTTCTAGGGGTCTGGGGCTTATCGGTTTTTAGGGTGATAGGGGTTTCGGCCTATAGGGGTTTTAGGGTTTGGAGTCTTGGATCGAGAGTTTAGGATTTAGCGTTGACCGTTGAAAGGGTTGTAGGGTTCAGGGCTCACAGCTTTCAACAATGAAGGCCCGTCTTTTTGTGAGTCCCTGTCGTAGGGGTTGTAAACTCCATGTTGGGGTCCCTGTTTATGGAAACACCTGCGCTGCCCTGCACTTTGAAAACACTGCTGACTATAGACTACATACAAAAGGCCCTCTTCAGCACAAATTAAGCACCAGGGCATGATATGGCATGATGTCCTTCTCGTCCCAGCGCGCCTCCGGAGACAAAGACGGCTCCTCCCCGCCAACTTCTCGTGAGACAGGCTCTGCCTGCCTCACTTCCTGCGTGACAGGCTCTACCGACTGCATGCGGGTCACCGGCTCCAGGCGCATTCCCGGGGGCACCTCAAAGCCTTGGGCCTCGGCTTGCGGTGGCACAGTTGAGCCGGAGGAGGGAAGGCCAGCTGGTGCTGCAGCAAATGGCGCAAGGGGTGCCTGCACAGGTGCCTGCACAGGTGGTTGCATGGCAGGTGCAGCCTGCACTGGTGTTGGCACGGCTGCCACCTGGGTTCGGCTGGGAGGAGGCGCCTCGCGAGCCGGCTGCGGAGCAGGCCTGGGCTCCTCGTCCACCCACGTCATAACCTTCTTGAAGTCCTCGCTCTCACGTGGCTCAGACAAGACCCGACGGCCGTAGGGCCGGAAGGAACGGTCTGAAGCGGGTTCCACCTGGTGTCTGATGAGCTCCCCGACCTGACAGCAATGTTTGGATCCCCTTCTGCAAGGAACAACACCACGGCGATACGAAGCACCTGCGAGCCCCCAAATGTGGCCGCCCACGCGCCGGGCAGCTGGCGCACGTACCTTCCACAAAACACATGTGCGCCAGGTCTCCGCCAACTTACCATGTTAAGGGTTTAGGGTTATGTTGTGCAACATCCTGACTCAACAAAAGGCGCTCGCCAGACATTTTTTTAATCCAGCCCCAGGCACCCAAATTCCAGTGAACATGTTTGATCCAACACACACACACACACCTATGATGTAGTGAAGGGGCCCAAATAGTTACCATCATCACCTTGAGCTGTATCTGAGGTACCCTCTACCCTGCTCAATTCCGTCTTGCACACCAACATAGGCCCTACATGCGGAAGTACCAGTCCCGTTATCAAGGGGTTTCTCAAGATACCCTAATGAATTCTACCGTAAGGAGAACTGGGTCTCCCTGTGAAGGACTTTCTAGGGAGTGCAAGGGAAGAGTTCAGGGTTTAGGATTTATACTCTATCGTATTGGGCCATTCAATAACCAATCACAATTTCCGAGAGCAGCTGGGTGTCCGAACCAAGAGTCGAGACAATATGCGCATGTTTATATATATATAGATGCATCGAGATTCATGGGCAGACAACTTTATACCATATTATATGTCACATTACTCATACAGGTAACTATGATACGTGTCTACGCGCATATACCATACAACTATCACTGATTACACATCCAAAAATGTCTATAGAACCCTGAACCCTAAGTCTCAAAACCTAAGCCCTAAACCCTCAATCCTAAATCTTAAACCCCCAACGCTACCAACGTCAGCCAGCAGTACCAACGATTTTCTGTTTCATGGCGGATGGCCTTGCAGGTGGCGCGTGTGGGTTTAGGGTTTACAGGCTAGGGTTTAGGGTTTAGGGTTCACGTTTTAGGGTTTAGGGTTTAGGGTTGAGGGTTCAGGGTTTAGGGTGTTAGGGTTTCAAGGATTCGGGGTGTAAGGTTTTGGGGCTTTGGGGCTGAGGCCTGGTATGGGGTCTAGGGTTTAGTTTTTAGGGTTAAATGCTAGTACACACCAATCATGGAGAATGAAACCGAACGTAAGACATGGTTCCAGCGTTCCTGTACTAGGGCACTGAGGACAAACTTGGAACATGAAATGGAAACTGTACTGGGTTTATATAGGGGTCTAATCTAAAGTACATTGGGGATTTTGGGCTTGCATCTAAGGGCCCCAAGGGGGTATACAGGGTAACGGAAAAGGGAATATCTAATGGAGCCTAATTCTTAGGGTCCATGGTTAGGAGCTTCCTTCTGATAAGGGTTTAGGTTTTAGGATTTAGGGTCTAGGGTTGCACTTCCCATGCAGGAGGAAAAGACGTTTACCAAACAACAGCAATATTTACAATGTACAAGCTAAGTACCATAGGCACATTGCGAAACACGAGTGCGGCCTGTAGAATTAGCTATAAGGGTCTGTAGGACAGTACCTGACAATCATTCGGGATTTCCGTACCTAGTTCATTGTGAGATTGTTCAAAAGAAAGTCGTCACAACTCTACTTGGCCTCCCTGCAAGCCGACCTAGTGTGACCTAGTGTCTGTTTCGGAGATAGACCCTACTTGGAGGGTCAGGGGGACTTAGTAAGTAGGTTAGTAATGGGGATAACTAGGGCTACCATATGGATTATATGGATTCCTAACCTACTTAATCAGTCCCGCCGACCCCCCAAGTAGACCCTAACCCCTAAACCTGCTTGTTGACAGAGAATTGAGGCAAGGATCCCTGTATCTTCAAGGTTCTTTCTGCTTCTTCATTAAGAACATGTAGCAAGATAAAGACTTCAGGTGGATAATTCTCTGTAAGCCCTACATCACCCCTACAAAAACCCTATAGCCCTATAATGTAGTGCAGGCTTCAGTGGAGAATCCGCATTCTACACGGTTCTGCTGGGGCCTCCTTCCACCAAGCGTCTGCGGGCGCACCCTCCACCTGGACTGGAGGATACCTCAGGGAAGATGTAGAGTCCCTACGGTTCTGGGTTAGGGTTTGGGGGGTTCAGGGGCTCGGGTTTTAGGGTTTAGGGCGTTAAGGTTTGAGGGCTTAGGGTCCCAATAACATGGAAGCCCAAAACGGGACCCGAGAAAACCACAATCTGTCCTCAAAAAAAGAGCTGATGTGGCTTTCATACGTGGTTCATCCTGAATTACCCTTGTATACAGCGGGGAAACGCGGGGAGTATTAGGGGATCCATTTTTTGGATCCTTTCGCGTTTAAGGTTCAGGGTGTACTTTCTACACTCTACAATGCAAATGGAAACATAATCTCGTAAACCTAAAAGATCCGTTGCCAGCTTTGCCTATCTCCTGGCAGCCTGTAATCTTTCAAACCTCGACAATCCTCCACATATGTGCAAACGAGCCCCTGTGAGAACATGTAGCCGAATCAGCTCTGAGATGTAGATGCATACCCAAACTATGATCAGCAGATGTAAGCCCTCAACCCTATACTATGTAAGGGCCTCAAGATAAAGAGCGAAGCTTTGCCACATAACAGTGTGGGAGTTTCCCAAATGATTCACTATAGAACTCTAGAAGAGGAGAGCCATAGTCTAAAATCCTTAAATGTGGAGCAATTATAGGGGTCAATTTTAGGGGGGTAGATTTTAGACCATAGCTTATATAGCCTTGTTCTGAAACCTTTTAAGTATCAGAGGCGGCGCCATCCACAGGAGCAGCTGCATGTGCAGTTGTTCGCCATGGCCCAGAACCCGGGCAGAACTGCTTTTGTTTTGTGAAATCGTTTCGTGCTGACAGTGTTCGGGTGATGAAGAAAAATTGGAACTTAACCTCCTCCTCATTTCCGCTATGCCAAATCCTTTAGCTAAATCGCGTTCCACAAAAAATAACCGAAGCATACACATCTCTGCATATGATGCAATGTACTGGAATTTGGGCTATGCTTTGTTTTGTAGTGATATTCACACATGACATGTGCACAGATGTGGCAGATTCAGTTCAATGCTCCTAACCAGCTTTTGGATGTTGGCCTACATGGGTAGGGGCGGCGATATGGGGTTGTGGTGTTCCTTGATGCGTGTTACCTTGCAAGCCACTGCTGCCAAGCCACATCAGCGGTACATGCCGGCATGCTGAAATGTTACTCAAAGTCGGTTTGCTCTGATTCGCAAGAGGTATTGAGGTTTCTTAGAGGACATATTTGGGGCTCAGAAGGAAAGCATAAGGGTCCACAGTCCCCGCGTAATTCATATGTAGAAAGTATTTTGAGAAACTCCTAGGCTCGGGCTGTTCGGACGCATGGGGTGCATGTGCGATTTATGGCCTGAGAGGTTGCATCATGCACGAAGACAAGCCGTGCCCCTGCATCTCGCTCTGAAGCGCAAATGGTTCTGTCGAGCCTGTTATGGACTGATACTTCTGAATGCCTTCATCACTGAAATTTCAACTGAGAATGAGATTTCACCTCTAATTGAACACCTACACTCTACAACCTTGGCATTTGGCCTGGAGCATACCCTGCCTCAAGATTAGCTGAGCCCCAACCGAAGGGCCATCACGGCCTCAGGCCCTGGCGATCCGAAAGAAAGCTCCATAGCAGAGTCAACAAATTCCCATGCAGAATAAGGCTTCAAAAATTAGGATCTAGTTTCTGGATCCTGTATCTTGTACTTTGGTATAGATTACGCAAGAACAGCACTGGCAATACATGATTCAGGCTCCTCTTCTTCTTGCATGCTACGGATTTCCGGGCTCAGGACTTAGAAGATCATGACTGCCTTGGTGAGGAGTCCCTAGAATAACTGTTGATACTAAAAATCCTGCATGACCTTAGTATGCTATAGTACCATTATTTTCAGGGTTTAGGGTATTTAGGGTCATGCAGGATTTTTAGTATCCACCGAAGTACTCTAGTATAGGGTATAGGTTTTGAGGCTTAGGAGTCTGTATCGGGCCCGAACCATTACTGGGTGCTCCTAGTAAACGGGGGAGGGATCCCTATAGTAGCCACTACGTGAAGCTAATGATACAGTAGTTTCCCATTTTTTCCAATCCCCCTGAACCCTAAGCCCTAAGCCGCTCCTACTTACGGAAATCCCCGTCAGTAACGGGAGACCCTAACCCCATAAACCAATAGATCATACCATTTTTCATGTAATTTTCCATTTTCTTCTCCATGTGATT